AAAAAAAAAAAAAAAAAAAAAAAAGAAGAGAGAGAGAGAGAGAGAGAGAGAGAGAGAGAGAGAGAGAGAGAAGAGGAAATGTTATCGTGCAACATATTCCATTTTTTGAGCCAGGTTAGAGCACAGTGTTCAAGGCAACTATGTTTGGTCAATTGCATGGAAATTTTAATTTCCTTTCTTGGCAACATGAAATTAGGTTTCACAGCCACATACCCATCTGAAAGATTTACCAATCTACTACTCTAATATGTATAACACCAGAATATCAACAAGCCAGTAACTTGATTTTATAATCAAAACCATGTATTCAAAAAGCATAATCATCCCAACCACAAAGCAAATTAACTGCTTCAGTTCACTTCCTTATATAAGCAGAAACATGGTTAAAACTAGTCATAATCACATCAATGCTTAAGAAGAATAAAGACTGAAACCTATATTCGAATACAAAATCTTTCAAACTGACCCAGATTTGTAAGCAATCATGTATACCTATTTTCTGTACAATTTTAAGTTTCCTGACCAGAATGTAATGCATAAAGGTTTCAGAAAGCATTAGAGAAGAAATGCCACATTTTTATGCAATAAAAACTAAACAATGAAAAGACAATATGATGATTTAGGGGCACATGACCATAGGAAGTTAGGAACGTGAAAACCAGTTTTATCAAGGGCCATATTTTGGAATAGTCCATTTTAATAGCAAAAGTGAAAACACGTCCACCTTTTAACCTAATTGGAAATATGTCGAATGACCTTCATTTGTTTCTACTATTTTTTTCTCTTAAGAGGATCGGGATCACAATGTCTATCCATTAGAAATGTAGCTTGGCTGAGTGAGCTTTCGCTTCCGTGTCTTCAAAATCTCATTATCACCTTCCGGTTCGAGATGGCTCCGTATGAATTATGCCATTATAAATTCTTATATATTGTAAAGGCACGTCCCAACTCAACAAGCTAGACCCCATGGTCGAGTTCGTCGAGCATGTTCTCAACATTAGAGTCACGCTGGTTGAGCACATGTCCAGTTTGTTAAGTTTTGTCCATGCAAACTCGGCTCACTGCTTGTCTTCTTTCCATGTCCAATAATGCATGCTCAAGAGATTTTGATCTCTCAGGCAACTGCCGAGACCATTGTCTTCATCTCTATTAGTATCTCAACACTCAAGACAATATAAAACTCAGGGCAACCTTCTGCAAATTGGTCTTAGTTTTTAAGTCTTCCTTCTTCCCTCTTTCTTCATTTTGGTAATGTTAGCTTTCAGGGACTAGAGAGTTGGGTGATAGTTCAGGATTTTTAGTTGTTTGAAGATTAATTAGGAAGGAATTAAACATTAAATTACTTTTCATTTCTCTCTCTAACATTGGACTTCTAAGAAAATTTCATGTTTTACCAATGTGTAGGACCAGTACTGATAGGTTCCATGACAAAGAAGTCTAAATTAAAATAGAAAGGAGATTAGACAGGTGAATCAGGATCAATAAAAGTAATCAGGTAAAAAGAGAGACACGGGATGGACAAAAATGGCTTGTGGTTAGCGGGATCCCGCGTTGCCTTAATAGGGAATTTCTTTTTCAAAATTACCGTCGAGATTAAAATTGGACCATGACTATTAGCTCCCTTACCTAAAATGTTTGCCATCTGCTCATCAAAATATTTTCCTTAGCTTTTATGATTCAAATCATTTTTCTCCTACTAAAATATTTGTCTCCCATAACAACAAAATAGGTAACGAATCAGCAGCAATTATAGAAAACAAAGGAAAAGAAAGAGGAACAAATCAGTTCGGTGTTAATTACCAATAAAAATAAGCATAATTTAATAATCTGCATGTGATTCCAAGCTGAGCATGACAATAAACCACAATATATTCTCTATACTCTGATATTCTTGCTACCTTTTAAACTGGCAGATGCAATGTTGATTTACCTTCTCAATATTGTCCATCATTATCCCTTTGACTTCTGTTATTTGAGTTTTCAATTTGGACAGCTTACTTATTTCTTCTGGATGGTTCATACAATATTGCATGTGCTCTTTAAGCCTTGGCCTGGTATAACATAACAGAACATTAAGTCGATGAACCCATTATTAAGTCGAGAACAATGCAGAGACAGTAGAGAATATAATTCATCAAGCATTTTCCTAAGAATAAAGATATATACACACCCAAATTCACGATCAAGATTGTATGCAATGCTAAATCGATCCTCAAACAAATCATCATCGTCATAGTCATCTTCGGCAAGAGGGTGTGGATCATTGCTCTTGATACTATCACCATAACGTTGTTTGAAGTCATCCTTCACCTTCTCAAGAAACACAAATGGTACACTCCTTCCCATCGATTCATCAGCAACAACAAGGAAAACTACACAGTCAATGAATATACAGTTTATTCAAGGAGTAAAAATTACATGATACTCAAAACATGCACATTTAGAGGAGAACCACATACCAAATCCACTGTCAATCAGGAAATTGAATGTATGCCCATCGCAAGAGTAAGTGTACTTGCTGCTGTTGGAAGGCAGCTTTTGCAGGCATTGGACAGCAATGGTACTGAAGTTTCCCGAGTAGGGAGTGTGCTCTGCCAGAACCACAGTTCCTTTTGCAACAAAGCTATAAATCAAGCCTTTCGGATTCATTTCTCAAGCCGCACTCTGTAAACAACAGACACAATAAAACACACCCATTATGCTGCAGAATAATGCAAGAATTACGTACCAAAGTTTATCCAAACTCAAAGAAATCACATTATTCCCAGCCATTCAAACAAATTAAAAATATACATATAAACAAAAAGTAGAAAAGAACCCACCCAGTATGTTAATCAACTTCTGAATGTATAACGCAGATTACCGAGTACAAATTAACAGGCAAGAATTTTTTATAGGCAAGAGAAAAAATCCCCAACTCAATTACACTATATCAGAAGACAGAGATTACGGAATTGTAAATAGGGAAAGTTTCTTCTTAGGACAAAAACAGGGGCGGACCCATTAGGTCAAACAGTAAAATATCAATTAGAAGAAAAAATTTACGAATTTGTAAATATTGACATGTTAGCAATCGAAACAGTGTAAAAATACGCAGAAATCCAAACTTCAATCTAGAAGTAATATGTAAGATCACCACAGATACAGAAACCTTAAGGTGAAATTCGGAATATAGAAAAACCAAAACTTACTTTAAGACTGGGTTTTTTTTCCCTTGATCTGGATTCAGGATTGTTCGCCGGAGTTGAAATTTTCTTCGCGTGCACGACTGAGAAGAAAAAATTGTGAAAGAGGTTTTCTAATCAACTTGGTTAGTTAACATCGATGAATGACTCAACTGTAGACTTCAGAACATGACACGTCGAGGTTCCGTAGATAGACTCACGCTAGACGAGCAAAATTGATGTGAACTAATGTTGTACACTTAGGGTGTGTTTGATGGATATTATTTTAGAAGAATGTATTTTAGAATAGTAGATTGATGGAGAATGTGTGGTTGAAAAAGAAGGAAAAGTTATTGATGTGATGAAAAATATTAATTTATTGAAAAATGTGTGATTGAAAATGAGTAGAAGAATGAGAATGATAAAAATAATGTGTACCAAACAGGGCCTAAATAAGTGAGGTTNGAATGAAATTCTGACCCAAAAAAAAAAACCTTGATCTGGATTCAGGATTGTTCGCCGGAGTTGAAATTTTCTTCGCGTGCACGACTGAGAAGAAAAAATTGTGAACGAGGTTTTCTAATCAACTTGGTTAGTTGACATCGATGAATGACTCAACTGTAGACTTCAGAACCTGACACGTCGAGGTTCCGTAGATAGACTCACGCACTCACGCTACACGAGCAAAATTGGTCAACAATATCTTATTTGATATCATTGTATTCATCTATTTTAAAAATTTGTTTTCGACATTAATGGCTAGAATTTTGACAACACACATGTCGATCATTAATGTCAACTAATGTTGTACACTTAATTTTATTCTTGTACATAAACCAAAGAAAAATAAATCAATCATGCTCAATCATGTTACATGTACATTGTCTTTTAAACTATTTTTTACATTTTGTTATATGACAACACATCATTTGACATTTAAAAAAAAAAACAAGTTTCTCTCCAATTATTTTTCTACGACATATCAAATGTCAACTAATAGGTACACTTGAAAATAAATTGGGTAATTAACCATGTTTGACAATTGAGAGCTTATTTGTGAGAGATTTTTGGGTGAAGAATTGATTTTGAATAGTGATATGATGGGAAATGTGTGCTTGAAAAAGAAGAAAAAATTATTGATGTGATGAAAAATATTATTTTATTGAAGAATGTGTGATTGAAANGATATGATGGGAAATGTGTGGTTGAAAAAGAACAAAAAGTTACTGATGTGATGAAAAATATTATTTTATTGAAGAATGTGTGGTTGAAAATGAGAATTGATTTACTATAGAAAAATTTAATTCCTCCCAAACAGGGCCTGAGAAAAGTAATATTTTAAATAATGATTTTTAAGAGAATGTAGGTTTAAAAATAAAAATAAAAAAAATTTTAAATTTACGTGCAAAATGTCTTATTATGTGAGTGTGATTGAAAATAAATGTGTAGAGAAAAAAAATTCAAATAATGATTGTCAAATGTTGGGTAATATTCACACGGCATTTTTTTTTATATTTGCATTGCATTTTAATTACAGGAAATGCTTTCAATATTTGTTCACTTTCACTTTTTTGTCCTAAACTTTTTTTTTTTTTTTTATCGCATTGTCATTCTTAAACTTCAACTAATTAACATATTTTGTCTCTAATCACGATTTTCATCCAAATATTCTACTAACATGCATTGAAAAGATTGTCAAATATTTTTGTATAACTTTTGTATTAATTATTTAATTCGATTATTTAAAAATACGAGAGATAAATATATCTTTTTGGCCCTCATAACAAATATTTTCAACGAAAATTGTCTCTATAGATAAAATGTGAAAATGAATTGAGGTTTGATGATTAAAAAAAAAAAAATTTAAAAGAAATGAGAACAAAAGTATAAAAATAAGAAAAGTTTAGGAATATTCATTATAATAAAGTGTGGTGGAAATATATTTACCCAAATAAACATCACTTTTTTACACCCGTGCATATATTAGAAAATGGAAATTCTGAAATGGGAAAATTGTCCTATTTTTAAAAAAAAAAATGGAAGAGAGTAGAGCATGTTTGGAGTCATGATTTAATAGTAAACGTTATGAAATGTATGAATAATAATTAGTAGTATCTATAAATTCTACAAAATATGTAAATAAAAGGGTATATTTAGCTCATGTTTAGTGGGGATTAAAATTAAATTTTTATTAGGTTTTGATAAAAGTTGATAAAATGTGTGAATGAAAAGTTATGAATTCACGAAATGTATGACTAAAATTAATTGTTAATTTTGACTTACATTAAAAATCAAGATTTTAATCAATACCAAATGTGGACTTAATCAGTTTAAATTATAATTTAAACTCGACAAAACATGCATTAATATTAATAAGTTACTCTTTATTAGACTTTTGAATTCAATAGTTGCATTTCATACCTTTTCTTCTTTGAAAGTTATATATCCCTTTCCTTTTTCTTTTTCATGAAAAAGCTGCTACATTTCTTGTAAAATCGGAAGCTTTTAAAACTTTGTAACCTTTGGAAGAATTGTCACGTACAAAGGTTATTTATAGTTTTCTTTCTTAGTAATAATCAGAGACGGATTCAGGACCAAATTACATGTCGGGCTAATACGTAAAAAAAAAAATTACCCATGATTTTTTTTTTTACATAACTCTATCCATCCCTGGTAATAATCTTTACATTAGAAACTCCAGTTTAACAGTTCTTTTTGCGATGATGGTGTTAGGCCCTTTGAAACAAAATACGTTTTCTATTGAGACACAATTGCTCAAAAACCTTTGACGGTAAGAGAGTAATATTTTCTCGAAGAGATCCTTAATTTGACAAAAATAAAACAAATACGTTCTTTCTTTATCTTTAAAAAAAAATGATTTGCATAGTTAAGGATGGCACGATACTTTGTCCCCGTTCCCAAATAGTGATATCCGCCTCAAGCCCTCAACTCTTATTTTTATTTAAGAAATAAAATATGTTAAATAAGTAAGTAAATAAGATGGGAAATTGAGATATTTTAATTTCAACCATGCTACAAGTACACTAACTTTGACATCAAATTTGACAATGTGTCACGTGGCGACATCACATTTGACAGTTTTTGAAAACAACACACTTTCCCGCCAAACATAATTTGAATTTACACATGGAATAATGCTGGGCGTACAGAAGGTATTTCACAGAATGTCTACAGAATTTTAAAAAAATTGTGACATGGCAGGAGAATGGGAGGGAAAACCATCGTTCTTACCTCATAACTCGCCAAAGACTCGTTTTATCCCCCAAACTGGAAGCCCTAAAACTGAAGTGGAGAAATTAGCTGCTCCACTTCTTCTCCGACCTCGAGAGCACCGGAGCTGAGCATTTCCCATTCAAGCGACCGTCAT